CTTGATATGAAAATAAAAGAAAAATTTATTGCCTTTCCCCGGCAACGGCGCCAAATTTGACGTGCACTCGTCGTTAGGTGCACTCAAAATAAATAATCAATACAACACTAATACGTAGTATAGTGTAGTAAGGTTCGTATCCACAGGGAAAGAAATACTTTTTCTTTTATATAAATAATAACAAGGGGGGTTTAGATTTGTTTGGTTTAATAACACTAAGATAAACGACCTATATGAGTTTAATTCAATGAGATGGGGACTTGGTTTTGCTTTTATCCACTTAATGAAATGTTCGTCGATCCCGGTTATATCTTTAACTATCTTCCTCTCGAATACTCAATCGAGAAGTATATCCAGTTCATCGAGGGTAGTTATTAATAACGAGATGCGTTCATTAATAAAACTTACTATCGAGTCAATATAGAACAAGCGCCGTATATTAACTTGATAGTCGCAATAAACTTAAGATGAAAACGATTGAGATTGATAACCTCAACACAAGCGGTTTATTGGTTTAATCAATATAATTAATTCCCCTTGGCATATCAACCATGAGATGCATGCATTAATATTCCAAGTTTACTACCGTTGAAAGAACCGGATTAATAACAAGCGTATTAACCGATTGATTCTAGTAATAATTAATATGAGAAACAATACTAGTTGATACTTTAAGTAATGTTTAAGATATTAACATGAAATATGAATAGGAATTAATCAATACTCAAGGAAGAATATTAAAATATATGAATCCTACTATGATTAATATCAAGATGTTAACTAATTGTCATCTTAGTAACACTCCCCAATATTATCATAGAGGAAGAAATAGCTATTACTATAACCAATGTCAAGATGTTAACTAATTGTCATCTTAGTAACACTCCCCAACTTTGATATAGAGATAGTATTTTGAAAGAAAGAATTAATATTCAAGGAAGAAGATTAAAGAAAATAACTCACAACTTACAAATTCATTAAGCTTCAAAGTAGCAAAACCAAGATGGAAGAGTTTAGCTCCTCATTTGGAGACTAAACATGATGAAAAATATAAAGAAAGAGCTATTCTATACTGAGCTTAGATGTACAAGGGATTGGATATCCTTTTGTGAAGGAAAGGAGGTGTATTTATAGGTTTTTGGGATGGGATTCGGGTACTCGATCGGGTATATACATGGTACCCGATCGAGTATGTGTGTAACACCCGATCCGAGGTATACTCGACCGATTTCAGGCTATTTTCTAAGTGTATACCCGATCGAGTATATATGAATACCCGGGCGAGTATGCTTAGAAAGTGGTATTCGGGCTATACTCGACCGGTTTCAGGCTATTTTCTAAGTGTATACCCGATCGAGTATATATGATTACCCGGTCGAGTATGCTTAGAAAGTGATATTCGGGCTATACTCGACCGATCTTCGTTTGCAATTTAAAGGCATACCCGATCGGGTATGTCGGTCTACCCGATCGGGTATAGACATAGAATCGTGGCCAAAATCTTCCCTGCATGTTCCTTTGTCTTCGGATCTGATCCGATTTGAAGTTCCAACCTAATACCCGATCGAGTATAGCTAATACTCGACCGAGTATAGACCAAAATTTAGGATCTTCTTTTGTCTTTGAACTTTTGCACCTTCTCTTCACTTTTTGGGTTCACCAACTGTACTTTGGGTGACCAAACCTGCTTAAGCTCAGAATATATCTAATCTAACCTATTTACAAGAATTTAACAATCTAATCTATTACACCAAAAGTGTGTAATTTCCAAAGTAAAAGTCAAGCAAAACTAATTAAAAACATAAACATAGAAATGGAAATTACGAACGTATCACCCTGCAAGGCGTCCTCCGCCTCGGCTTGCCGGTCGGCACGGCCGAGCGCCTCCTCGTACGAGGTGGGGGGACTTCTGACGAAATCTTTGTAAAGCTCGCCCGATCGGATAGAGTTATAGAGTTTGTGAGCATGGCCACCCCGGTCCTGTCATCAAGGCCCTGAACCTTGACTGACTCGGCCCTCCACCTCGCTAGGAAGGTCGACAATGATTCCTTCTTCCCCTGTTTTAGACCGAACAGGTGGCTGAAGTTTTTCTTGACGTCTCGGGAGCTTGCGATCCTCAAGAGAAAGCGCTGAGCCAACTCACGGAAATTCGTGATACTCCCGTCGGGTAGAGAATCATACCATTCACGAGCCGGACCATCCAAAGTGGCGGAGAAACCGCGGCATCGGATGGCGTCCTCATACCCCATCATGACCATGTAGGAAAGGTACCGAGATACATGATGTTGGGGGTCAGAAGCGCCCTTGTATGCTTCAATGGCGCAGGGCTTGTAGCCCCTCGGCAACGGCGCATCCATGACCGCCCGGGTGAAGGGTTCGGGTATCCGGAGGTCGGCCGTGTAGGGCTCCCCCCCGACGACCCTCCTTCTCAACTCGTCAAGGCGCTGTCGTAGATCTTCCACCTCGGCCGGCGGTGGGTTCCCCCGGACAGCTCCAGCGCGGGGCTCGGCATGTCCGGCGGCACCTCCAAGTCGTCCGTGCACGTGAGGTCGGGGCCCCACGTTTTGCCTCTCCGTGGAGCCAGTCCGACTGCTCGCCCGGTGAGAGTGGCGAGAGGGCTCGCCTCCTTCCATCTGCGTTGGGCGCCTCTGCTGGGCGCCCCTCCCCGTCTGCCGATGGGGTCGGCTAGGCTGCTGGGAGACTTCTTCCCCCGCCGATGGGAGACTTCTTCCCCCCTGTTTTGGTTGGATCCAGAGCGTCGCTCATCACGCCGCCTGGAGGACACCTCCACATCCGCTGGCGTCTGTTGACGGGCAGACTCATCCACATTTCCGCCAGACACCATCTGTTGGAAATTTTGAGCCAAGGTCCCCAGAACCCGAGTTGCCTCCTGCAGGGCTTCCACCCCGGCATTGAGTCGAGCCGGGTCCATGCGCTGAGCATGACGTCGGCCTCCCCCCCCGCCGGCTGCGGACCGAGCGCTCACCTTGGGTGTGGTTGAGCGTCGCCCTTAGGTCACCGTGGCCTGATAATTGGTTCCGAAGGTCGCCTTGGCGCGCCGCCCTCCTGCCCTGTGCATGGTTGTCGAGGGCACGCTGGTGGCCAGACCGGGCGGACTCCTCGGTGTGGACTGAGACATGGTCACGTCGAGACGAGATTCCAGCCATCTTCCTGTGTGATTCCTACTCAAGTTATGTGAGAGACAATAGAGGCTCTCAATGAAAGCACCAATGTTGGTCCAAAATAGGACGCTCGTAGGCTTTTAGGAAAGCTACGTACGACACTCAAGCAAGAATTAGGAAAGTACGAATATGGAAAGTTAGCCAGAAATAGCATATCTGTATTTGAAATTCGAATTGCCTTTTATAGGCGATTACAAATGGTAACTGCCGAACATAATAATGACTAAATTAATTACAATATTAATACAGAATTAAACACATAATTAAGTCGCGCATTAATTGTTGGCCGTTACTCTTCTTGGCTGGCAGGTCAGCCTGGCTGGCAGGCTGGACGCTTGAGCTCCCTCCTGCTGGACTGGATGGTGGGCTTCCCGCTAGGCTGGAGGAAGCCTTCTGACCGGGCTGGAGGCAGGCTCCCGGGTAGGCTGGAAGGCAGGCTCCCGGGTAGGCTGGACCGCAGGCTTCCAGTTGGGCTGGACCGCAGGCTCCCAGCTGGGCTGGTGGTCGGCAGGCTCCTGGCTAGGCTGGAAGGTAGGCTCCCCACTGGGCTGGAAGGCAGGCTCCCGGGTAGGCTGGACCGCAGGCTCCCAGTTGGGCTGGACCGCAGGCTCCCAGCTGGGCTGGTGGTCGGCAGGCTCCTGGCTAGGCTGGAAGGCGGGCTCCCCACTGGGCTGGAAGGCAGACTCCCCACTGGGCTGGTCGACAGGCTCTCTTGGGCTTCCGCTCCTTGATTGCCCTGGTTGGTTGGGCTGACTCGAGCTCTGGGTTGCTGGGCTTGGGCCCGCTGGTCCAAGTTCGGGGCCTGGGTCGATTAGGCTCTGGGCCTAGTCCCATAACCCCATCAGCTAGTATAGTTTTAAAATATTTTGCATTATGGATCTATATTGTTTGGAGTGAATATGTGCATTATTAAATTATAATTACATTCTTTCAATGTTCCTCTTGAGTTGATTAGCGGTCAAATAGTCTTGCAATGCATATGTATGAATGTTCAAATAACTATGCAACCAATAAAATATTAAAGGTGGTTGCATATGAATCTCATATGTTTAGGGGGCTGGGGAGCTGGGGAGGGGGCTGGTGGGATGGGGAGGGTGCTGGGGGGCTGGTGAGGGGGCTGGGGGCTGGGGAGGGGACTGGGGAGGGGGCTGGTGGGATGGGGCTAGGGAGCTGGGGAGGGGGCTGGTGGGATGGGGAGGGGGCTGGGCTAGTTTCTCTAGTGGATGCTCTAAAGTTTCCAACTTTTTGGTCCTTGTATATCATTTTGTTTTTTCGGTTTTTTTTTGCTTGCTTTGTAAGTTTTGTCTACTACTACTGATGAAGGTTAACTGGACTTTTTCTCACTAGTGAACACTTGGAGATAACGTGAGAGGAGGGACCCTACTTCTAACGAGCATAGTTTATGCAGATTGCAGCCAAAAGGCTAAAGGTTTGGAGTAGAGCAGAAATGGAATTTTCAGTTGAGGTTGAAATACTAGCCCGTGTACGACACAAGAATCTGCTGAACTTACGGGCCTATTGTGCTGAAGGGAATGAACGTCTGATTGTTTGCGATTATATGCCGAACCTAAGCTTACTTTCTCATCTTCATTGGCAACATTCAACTGAAATCCTTCTTGATTGGAAGAAGAGAATGAACATTGTCATTGGTTCTGCCGAGGAGATTGGGTAAGTTTCATATTCCTCACTGACCAAACAGGTCTTCACTCCCAACTAAATTAGGCCAATCTCACTCCAAAAATATCTTACCTAATACTTGTACAAAACTGTTAAACATCTATCATGGTACGTGGATACATGAGTCAAAAAGAACTCAAAGGGAAGTATGTGGGCAACAGGAAATATGTAGGCTAAAGTACCTTTTTCTTTTGACACATACATGCTGTTTTTTTCATTTCAAAATTTCTTTTCATTTGGATTTCGACGGTGGAAATTAAAGTTTGGATTTTTCTTTGATTATCTTGTGCTTTTTTGGTGGTTCAAAGGATGGGGTTGTATTTTCAAATAATAAAAAGAGTAATGATTGTTTTACGTGGAGGTTTCTGTCATGTGTAATTATTAGTTGCGTTTTTTTCTTAATAAAGGATTACTAATATCAAAAAGCTTCAAAGAATGTATTTTTATTTCTTGGTGAGAAGATGAAAGTCCAAAAATTGGTTTTTTATTTCTGGGTAAGAAGTTGAAAGTCCAAAGACTGGATTTTTCTGGGTAAAGAAGTTAATATTTTGAAAATTGCATTTTATGTATGATGGGAAATAAGAAGAGTATGAAAAAGACAAAGGAGATATCTTCAATGAGTGGGGAGTATAAGCAGCAGCAGGGTCCAAGAAAGAGAGGTAGGCCAAGGAAAATTATTCCCAAAGTTGAAGGAGATGAAGTGGTTAATCATAAAGATGCAGAAGAAGAGGTTGTAGAGGGTGAAACTAAAAGGGCAAAAAACAGTGGTGGAGAATCACAAGATAAAGAGGAAATAGGAGAAGGGGTTGTTGCTTCATCTTCATTATTATTACCATCATCACAAAAACAGCGGCCTAGGAGAAGAGCCAGAAGAAAAGGCAAGCCAAGAAAGAGCTGCTAAAAATCAAAGGAAACCCTATTTGCTTTTTTGTTTTGTTTTTCATGGGTGACTACTAGTAATCAGTAATCACACCTAAAAAATTAAGATTAATGGGTAATAATGTTTTTCTTCTTATTTTTGTCATTCCCTCGTATTTACAAAACTTTCTGCTTTCTAATGTTTTGGTTTCCTATTAAAAAAAAGTTAGTTGACACTTGTAAACTAATTAGTTGTTTCATTAGTAATTTTACTTCCTTAAACATTTGTCAGCATTTGATTATTATTTGTGTTGCAGAACATCGGCTCAAAAGACCAATCAAAATTATCAGAGCCAATCAAAGAATTGGATATCATGCTGACTCAGGTCTTCCAATCAACTCATTGTTATTGCATTCGATAGTCTTGACATGCATTTAATTGTATATATGTTTTTTTTAATCCGCTGAGCCATTGAATTTGTGGCAACCTATCCAATCAACAATAGCCACTATATGAGATGCAAATACATAATTCTTTTTTGTATTGGTGATTTTCTCTCATTGTAGGTTGCTATCCATATGATGATAGGGATCCTTTCTTCATTGAATCATGTCCCCATGTTTATTTCTTGGGCAATCAAGATGAGTATGATACTCGCTTGATCAAAGGTACTTCAATTGTAGTTCGGGGCTTGCATATATTGGATTTTAGAACGACTGAAGTATCATGCTATGTTTGGTAGCATTAATAGGATCGGCTTATTCTGCATGTTTCACTAATTTTGCTGACATGAATTTTATCAAATGCTTTCCTTTCAGAAAAATTAGCAGATTTAGTCATTTAGAAAATAACCCTTACCAAATGGGCACTTAATGTTAATGCTTTTGGTTGTGCAGGCTCAGAAGGGCAGGTGGTAAGACTCATATGCATCCCTAGATTTGCTGAGATAGGAGTTGTTGTGGTGGTAAGAGTTAAGTTATTTTCCCGCATTTATTTTTGCTTTGTATGTTATTTTTGCTTTCATTTATGTAGCATCAAGTCGAATACCGTAATTCCTGATTAGTAATTACTCCCTCCGACCCTAAAAACTTTGCCAACTTTCCTTTTTTGGATATCCCACTAACTTTGCCATTTTCCCTTTTAAGTAAATAATTTATGGTATCAGTTAATTCTCTCTCCTCTGCACATACCTCAACCACACAGTTTTTACTTTATTAATCCCTGTGTCGGTCAAACTTGGCAAAGTTTTAAGGGACGGAGGGAGTATGTTATTGTTCTAACTTGTAGTCTCGAATGCAAGTTGGGAGTTATGAATGTGGTTATTATGTGATGTTGCATGTGTTGAATATTGTTTCGACGGTAATTCTTGAAATGTGGGATGGGGTACATTATTATTTTATTTACATTCAATAGGTTTGCTCCATGTAATGTTTTTTAATAACCTTCTTATTTAATTTGTAGCGATTCGCCAATTCAGAACCATTCTCATCAGATGAGATTGATGAAGAACGAACTCCTTGGGCATCATATTTCTTAGAAATGACGCAATCCATCAACGACACATGAAGAACGTGTTTATTTAAGTTTTTGAGTGATGATGAGACTTGTAACTTTATACAATGTCTTATTACTTTAGATTTGTGCAAGGATTGTTATGTATTAAGTTGTTACTTGAACTTGTTTAACATTTGTGGAAGAATTGAAAAATAGCTTGTGTTATTGTTTTAGATGGATCAAGTGAACATGTGAAAAATTGTGTTATAGTAGTTGATGATACTGTTAATGATGTGATTATAGTATAAACGGGGGTCATATCGCAAATTTTTTTCTTGAAAAATACCGAAAAAATTGAAGCTTTTCACATCAGTTGTAAAATAACCGATGTGATTGCTTTTCTACATGGGCTATAACCGATGTGAAACACGTATGTTCCGGGAAAAAAAGAAACTTTTCGCATCGGTTGAAAAAATGACCGATGTGAAATCTTTTCTACATGGGCTATAACCGAAGTGAAAAACCTATGCTCCGGAAAAAATTGAAGCTTTTCTACATCAGTTGTAAAATAACCGATGTGATTGTTTTTCTACATGGGTTATAACCGATGTGAAATATCATTAAAAACGCCGTTTCAGACTATCTTCTAGATCGGGCACTAAACGAACGATGTAGAAAGAATTTCCACATCGGCTGTTTGACAGAGAGTAGTTAATTGCTCCAGACTTTAAGACAAAACCGTGTTCACTTTATGCTAGACAGACACTGCAGTTCTAAATTGTCTGTCCGCCAAACAAAATACAAACAAATGACAAAAAAAATAACATACTCTTTGTTATTTAAATATACAGGCAACTACAAATTAATTTTAAAGAATTCATTTCACATTACAGACAAATCAAATGGAATGCCAGACAACTCTTTTCACTTCACAGACAAATACAACCCAGTTTTCAACATCCGAAGAGAGACATCACAAAAGTCATCACACGTACTAACCAGTTGTTCTATGTACTCAAACAAATAAATTTGTCTCTCCAGACAGACATCTTATGTAAGACTCTACCAATTATGAAACCATGCTCAGCTAGAAAGAAGTTGAACTTCAAATTTGTCTGTCAGACAGACGACTACTTTTCATGAGGAGTTGGACAAAAAAATACCAAAAAATAAGGAAAAAAGACAATCTCAAGTGTTTCAAGACCATCTCACCTTCATCATCAACCTCGGTTCTTGTGAGGACAACTTCGTCATCTGTACTCTCCAGATCTAAATGCCGGTTGGGGTATTCACGTTGTCCAAGAGTTCAAAGATATTAGCATAGAAAGAAGACCGAGAAGCTCTGGACTCAACCATAAATGAGCTCGTCCAGCTCGGAATGCAGAGGTGAAGTGGGTGCACTGTGGCAGCAAAGTGTCAACAAAATAAGGTGAAGTGGGTTGACTGTGGCACTCTGTGTTTTCCATGGCATGGTTAATAAAATGAAGAAGAAGGAACGAAGTGGGTGCACTGTGACAGCTGAAAATAATGGAGAAGAGAGGTCTTTGTGCACTGTAGAAGCTGCGAATGGGTGTTGCAGATTTTGGGGGGAAAAGAATAGTATGGGTAGAGGACAGAAGTTGCGAATGGGCGTTGTAGATTTTGGGGGGAAAAGAATAGTATGGGTAGAGGATTTTACCAGAGGGAAGTAGTATAGATTTTATTTCCATGCTTGAAATTTTGGGGATTTGGCATTGTGGGAATCAAGGATTTCAAATTCAATGGAAAATTAGATAAAATGTACTTAGATACCCAGATCCGATTGATTAAATGGAAAATTCCCGAACTAGGACTAAAAAAGTTTGAAAATTCCAAAATGAGACTGTCGTGTTTTTTATTCCCAAAATAGGACTAATTACTGCCATGTTTAGAAAATATTGTCATGTTTAAAGTCTAGTACATTAATTAGTCCTGTTTATGGAATAAAAACATGTCAGTCCTATTTTTGGAAATTTTAAAGTGTTTTAGTCCTATTTCGGGTAATATCTCTTGATTAAAAGGTTTTAGATCTGGGACCTAGAGCCGATAATTACGATATGGATAAAAAGTTTCATACATAGAGATAGGTCTTGAGAAAATTGCCGTGAAGAACGAGGAGATATAGGTCTTGAGAAAATTGACGTGGCTAAGACAAAAACGTTTGCGTGTTCAAGAAAAAAAAATTAATACGGAGTATTTGGTTTTTCTTAAATTTAATGAGAATTTACCCAAAATAGGATTAAAACACTTTGAAAATTCCAAAAATAGGACTCCCATGTTTTTATTTCCAAAATAGGACTAATTACTGCCATGTTTAGAAAATACTGCCCTGTTTGAAGTCTGGTACTGCCAAAACATGGCAGTAATTAGTCATATTTTGGGAATAAAATACATGACAACTTTTTTTTGGAATTTTCAAATTGTTTTAGTCCCATTTCTGGAACTTTCCCTCATTTGATCATTTAATTTTTACCCCTAATTGAATTAATTTATTAATGTGAGATTTCCTTAAATAGGACTAAATAAAAAGATAATTGCAACAATAAGAGCTGAATGTTTAAATTCTCAAAATAGGACTAACTCTTCCTATTCTACCATTTCCCTTATCCTTACTAATAGGATTTTTTAAATAATCATTATAAAACATAAAAAAATTAAAAAAAAGTAAAATCATAAAAAATAAAGGCTAAAGGGTCAAATAGACCCTTGAACTGACTTAAAGTGTTTAATTAGACCCTTATATAGGAGGTTTTGTCCGTCCGTCACCAATTGGGGCGGTTCCCGGTGGAATTTTTTGATGAAATGTTTTGAGCATCTTCTTCATTAAGTCTAGTTTACTCATACCAAATTTTAGCTAAAAAATCAACCGGGAAGGTAGTCTAATGATTTTTTGAAGATAACTGCGAAGTTAAATAACGCAGTACATTTCGGGAAATCATTTGACTGTCTTCCCTGTTGACTTTTTAGCTGAAATTTGGTAGGGGTAAACTAGACTTAATGAAGAAGATTCTAAAAAAACTTCATAAAAAAGTTCTACCGGGGACTGCCCCAATTAGCGACAGCCGGACAGAACCTCCTATATAAGGGGCTAATTGAACACTTTAAGTCAGTTCACGGGCCTATTTGACCCTTTAGCCAAAAATAAATAAAAAATATACAGACCTCGACCACCACCTCATCCACCTTCCAGTAGTGCCACCTCCAGTCGCCGGAAAAGATTGCCAAGTTGGGAAAAATGTCATCATGATGCTTTCAAAGAAATATGGCAATTTTTACATAAGATGACGTTTTTTACCGGTGATCGGAGGTGGTGGTGCTTTACGGTGGAGGATGCATAGGTAGTGGTCAACATATTTTTTTAATATTTTTAAGGTTTTTTATTCTAATTTTTTTAACTTTTTTTTTAATTTTTATTTTTTTTATTTTAATTTAATTTTTCCCGATTTTTTTATTAATTTATAAATATTTTTACGATTTTTATGTTTTTATTATAAATAAAACTATGATTTTTTGTATTAATAAATAAAATCTATTAGAAATTATAGGTTGGGGGTAAACTAGGAAAAGAGACATATATTACTCATATTTTGAGAATAAAAGGAATATACTCCTAATGTGGAATTTTAATTAGGGCTAATAGCCAATTATTAATTAACCCAATTAATTGTCCTCTTATTTCTCTTGCACAATCAAAGCAGTCCGTTAATGGCAAGGCCGGTGGCGGCAGCTTGGCGGCGGCGAACTCCTGCGGCGGCAGCAAATCTGGAAGGCTTCCGGGAAAAAATCTGGAAATTTCTTGCGGTGCTCTGGCGGCGGTCAAAGATCCAGCGGCATGTGGCAGGCGGCGGTCCGGGAAGCAGTGGTTAAGACTATGAAGGTATTTTGGTCCAACCACAAGTAAAAATTCCTATTTAAGGATGTTTAAATTAGGTAGTTCTGCTTTGAAAAAAGGCTAAAGGGTCAAATAGGTACATGAACTGATTTAAAGTGTTCAATTAGACCCTTATATAGGAGGTTCTGCACGGACGTCTTCAATTGGGGCACTAAAGGCTAAAGTGGAATTTTTTGATGAAATTTTTTGAGCATCTTCTTCATTAAGTCTAGTTTATCCATACCAAATTTCAGCTAAAAATTCAACTGGGAAGGCAGTGAAATGATTTTTTGAAGATAACTGTGCAGTTAAACAGAGCAGTACATTTCGGAAAATCATTTGACTGCCTTCCTGATTTAATTTTTAGCTGAAATTTGGTATGAGTAAACTAGACTTAATGAAGAACATGCGGAAAAAATTTCATCAAAAATTTCCACCGGGAACTTCCCTAATTGGTGACGGCCGGAAAGAACCTTCTATATAAGGGTCTAATTGAACATTTTAAGTTAGTTCATGTACCTATTTGACCCTTTAGCCTTGGAAAAAACTACTCCGTATGTTTTAGTTTTATTAAGGTAAATCTCCCATATGCCTAAAGGTTTCCAAAAGATCAAGAATATTGAACTAATGATACGGCATTACGGCCGACCTACATGCTACATGGCTTTATAAATTTGTTTATAAATGTGTCCTAGCCTTCTTGGTAAGAGTTCACTCGCTACTATGGGTGAGCAACAATCCTGGTCCGGTTGTCTCATTTTGATATATCGCAAAACTGTACCAGTGTTGTTCCGTTCCATCTGGGATTCGTTTATTTAACCCTACACTGGTCCCGTATCGGTTTAAAGGGAGACATGACCGGGACATTGAAAGGTAATCTCGAATTGTCCTGTTTGTAATCAATGTAAAAAAAATTAGTATGTAACTAGTTTGTAGTATCAACTCAAAAAATAATACATAACATAAATATTTAGGCTAAAAGGTCAAATAGGTACATGAACTAACTTAAAGTGTTCAATTAGCTCCTTATTTAGGAAGTTCTGTCCGGCCGTTGCAAATTAGGGCGGTTCCTGATGGAATTTTTTGATGAAATATTTTTAGCATCTTCTTCATTAAGTCTAGTTTACCCATATCAAATTTCAGCTAAAAATTAAATTGAGAAGATAGTCAAATAATTTTCCGAAATGTACTGCGATGTTTAACTGCGCAGTTATCTTCAAAAAATCATTTGACTACCTTCACGGTTGAATTTTTAGCTTCAATTTGGTATGAATAAACTAGACTTAATGAAGAAGATGTTCAAAAAATTTCATCAAAACATTTCACCGGGAACCGCCCCAATTGGAGATGG